CCTTACAGGGAACAGAAATTTCCCTAAGACATGGGAAGACAATTCTAGCCATGTTTTTTCTAGTCATACATAATGCAACATTCACAACTAGAGACTGGCCAGAAGTCATCTACGATGGGTGACACTTTCTGCTCCCTTGAAAAACCAGGAAAGCAAGGAAAGGAGAAGATGGTCATACTCGTCTCAGAGGATCTTTCCAAAGCAAAGAAGCAGTGGCCCATCAGATAAGTCAGCTGAAGGTATCTTGAGTGAACACTCTCACTTGTGGATTGTTTGGTTTCCATGGCTCTTGGCAAGTCACTCATGCTAAAACTGAGGATTTTTTATTTTGTTTTGATGAAACTGTCCCAGTGTTAAACACATGTTTGAAGGGCAGTTTACAGGTTTAAACTACAGTGTTTATGAAAGCTTAGTGAGGATTATCTTGAAAAAAATGAGGACTTCTGGAGTAAGTTATATAGTGACAAATTAATTTTATATTCTGTTTAACCACATGTCAGTATAGTCAAGGCAGGAAAAATCTGTTAAGAAACCATACAGAATGTTTAGCTAAGTGTAAGGCATGGTATGTCTGTTTCATGGTACATCTCTGGCTTTGAAGGGGGCCATATTGTGTTCAGCCTATGTAGGTTGTCTGAGATGAAATGCATGTGATGGGCACTTGAATTTGTATGCAAAACACTGCTGTCAGACTTTCTGGCACGGGACTGGCTGATATGGACCAACTGTGGGCTGCTCTAGCCTCAGGGCATAATTTACAGCAACGTGAAGCTCAGCAAATTACTTGAGGAAGAAAGGGACAAAGGTGTGTACAGCAGCAGTAACCAAAGCAGGGCAGAGCATCCCTGCATCTACCAAGTGCTTTATTTCAGCTGTGGTCCAGAAGCTGGGAGTTGCATCTGGGGATCTAATGCTACAGGTCAAGAGATCTGAGGCCAGGTACATTGGACATGTTTGTCTCTGGTTTAGTTCTTGCCCTAAGAAGTGACAGATAGGCCATGCTGTAGCTTATTAAAGCCCCAATGGGAAACACAGGCAAATTAATAGAGTTCATGTTCCAAACCCATTATTATTGTTATTATATGGACATGCTGCCTCCAAAACCAGGTACCCACATCACCACCAAACATCATGTGTTGCAAACAGAAACCAAGTAAGGTCTAAGCTGAAAGACCTACAGGCCACTGGTCACCAATCCTTATTCTAGTGAGGGCTTCTGGCAGATCACAGGGAAGCATCTGCACAGATCCCACAGAAGCTGGCTGTCTGACTCTGGCTGTATTTGTACCCAGCCTTTCGCTGGCACCTGCTTCTCCTGCTGGGAATAGGTTGTGGAAAGGTGCCAGAGTGTGCCTGGGTACACTGAGGGGCAACACTTGTTGTGGCCCTTTAATGTTTAAACAGCTGTGCTGGATTTGCCAGAGGGTGTCTGACAGAGATCCCTGAGTAAACTGCCTGGTGTTATTTATTCCAATTCAGCTGTGATAATTCACACCATCTGAAGAGCAGCCTAATACTGCACTGGCAGGTTTCTGAGACGTTTGCTACTGCTTTGAACAGAAGGATCCTTGTGGTAAGGGGTATGTGATTTCCCCATCACTGATGACTCTGGACAAGACAATAAAAGATACAACACAATTTAAAACAAAAAGAATTAATTCAAAATGAAAATGTAATTGCTAATGCAGCAGTCACAGGCTTGTGCTCATGCAGGACACCCATGTGTGCTGACATATTTATAGATGTTGGTTACAGGCACTAACAGAGGAGATGCACAGAGTTTAACCTTCTCTCATGTCTGGTCACACTCCTAATTTGTTTCTTCTTGTTGCACAAGCTGTAGAGGCAACTCAAGGAATATCCATTTGGAAACATGCTAGAGGGAAGGGAGCAGTGTAATATTCAGGACCACAGTCTTCTACAAAACTGTGATTTCCTCCAGCCTTGATGTGAACATTAGATGTATCTGCAACTACCTGCTAATAGTAGAGTTCCTGCTTCAAATGTGGCTTATCTGCTTTGCCTGGGTAAGTGATGATTCAGTATTTGTCCTCAGATCTCTTGACCTGCAGCTTTACCTCCCCAGAAGCAACTCCCATCTTCTGGGCCTTATGGCTGAATCAGTGCCCACTCTCTTGGTCCTTTCTCCCTATTGTCCTAAAATGAACTTACCAAGTGACACATCTTAATGTTCCTCTTTATGACATATCTGTTGTCATGTCATTCTTACTCCTCAAGATATGCTTCCATCTCTTGCCCTTGACATCTTCAAAACACCTAGAATAGAAAAGACAGATGCAGATCACCCAATTCACCAGGCTGAATTTTCTCTTAAATTGGAGCCTTCCTGGAATTAATCCTGAGCAGAATATGAGCACACCACAAATTGCTCAAGTAAATATTTAAGATGTGTATACAGTAAATCTCTGGAGTTTAGTAAAATCAGGACTCAGGGGCATGTGCAACAGCAATTCCTTACCCACTGCTGCATTATAAAACTCAGGAAAATGGTAATAAGTTGTGATGGCATTCAAAATATTGGAGACAGTTTTACTTTGCTGCCAAAGTATCTGATTCTGTCATATTTTTTTTGTCATGCTTTAGACAAATATGCTCAAATTAATTATCATAGTTCTAGTTTGTTGGTAGGTGTCCATTTCAAAGGAGCTAAAAGTAATGCAAAATTTCTTGAGTTCATTAACTGCAAACTGTCACCTGATTCAACTAGAAAAATCTTCAGGCTCTCAAAGCACATGTAACACAGCCATGTTTTGGTTCTAGCTTTGGCTGGTTGGGGTAATTTCACATAGGTAAAAATGATAATGGTACAAGACACGTTGACACCACTACTACACTTATAAAAAGAACATACAAATGCACAGTGACACTTCACACAGGGCTTGCACGTAAGACACAAATTTGAAGTCTGATGCTGTGGGGAGCAGAGGACTCTTAACTCTCATTAAGTTCAATGTGAGCTAAGAGTGCTTGGGGTGGTCCAGGTGCTCTGGCCCTCAGCGAGGCTCTGCGCGTTCATGTCAGAGACAGGAGCAATTTCCCCTTTCTAGTGTGTGTGTTTCTAATGGCTAGATTAGTACAATTGCCTGATAATCACGAGTAATAGAAATGGCTTTCTGGTGCTGAAGTGCTCTTTCTGGAAGTTAATAAAGCTCATTCAACATCGCCTACAGTTTTACAACACGCCGTAATGGAATAATGTAATGAGTACAATGTGAGTATTGTACAAAAGCCAGTGTAAAGTTAAAAATGGATCTAGGGTAGTGCTGCTTTTGAATATGAGCAGTGCAAGGTATGAATTACTTCCTTGAGATGGATACAGGAGTTAATCTGTGAACAATGCAGCCCAGCTCAAATTCGCTTTTTTTTTCCAGATTTGCTTTCTTCCCGTCCTTTTCTTCCAGTTGTTTTATATGTGTTTGTCCTTGTTAATTCCATAGAGGTGATTGTGCTTTTAATTTACACCTTCCAGTTTCCTACTGGAATCTGATTATTAAAGGGGTTATAAAAACTTCTGTAACAATGTAATAAAAGGACACAGCAGGAAACCAACTCTACTTAAAAATTATAACATGAAGCCGAAGTCAATTTGAAACTTCTAGGAATGTGTAGCCCTGTAACTTGTCAGACGTCAGGCCATAGTTGGAATGCCTCAACAATTCAGTGATAATTTTTCATTGTTTTCACTATGTGCAAACAGAGGAGTGTTGAATTTCATTATTCCGGGATCCATCCATGTTTTGTACGGCCAATATGACAGGTTTGTTGCTAAAACAGCACATTAACTGTATGTGTAAGGTCTCTAGTCCCTTCTTTCCCTGCATGAATAAGACAAACTTGTATTTAGGGAGAAAATGGCTTTGTCTACCTGTAAATGAAGATCTCCTGAAACGCAGTCTCCTAAAAGAGTGATGGTAATCAGTAATGCCAAACCCTCATTACAGCAGTGGCATTTTCCAACTCTATGGCGGATTTTGCAATTAACACACAAAGAATTATTCCTTTCTTGTGTAACAACATTTTAATGTCAGTAAAAAGTGGTTTTATAGTTCAAGATTACAAATAAAAAAATATTTCATTGTGACACTTTTGCCATTTTCCCTCAGGCAAGTCTTCAAATTTTAGTTAGGAAATAAACACGAGGTGGATGGATGCTCGCTCTACGGAAAGCTGAGGGACTCCCTCCCCACTCTGCAACTGCCGGATGTTTTGAAATGGAAGATTTTACTCCAAGTAAAGCCCAATGAGTTCCTCTCTCTCCCATGGCAAGGGAAACCACAGGGGCTTTTACCACCACCAGATCCTTTCAAGCTGAACCAGCTGCAGGACACTGAAGGGCACTGAAAGGAACGAGTCAAGCACCTCTCTAGCTAACGGACTGCATCAAGAAGGCACAACATAAGCAATGGTAAAGTCAGTAAACAAAATTTTACTGTAATATTTGTAACACAGATACTGTATTTCTCTTTGAAGTGTAAAGCTACCGTCTTACACAAGAAAGATGGACAGACCCTTTTCCAAGACTAATATGGATACAATAAATATGGAGTTTTACATACTAGATCTGTACACAGAAACTTTGTCCCACAGCCATAAAAATTTACATTTAACAGTGCAACATATAATTTAATCCTTTATTTATCTGACATAGGATGTTTACTTACTAAACACAAGCAACTACCTGTTTTAATATACATATTTTATATATATATATTTTATATATATATATTCAACAATCTGTACAGGTTTCTAAACATAAAACTCCAAAAAGGCACAATCGTCTATACAACATGTACAAAAATGGCTGGAGCTGACAAGAAACAACAATTATTGGTCAAGAGTTCATGATTGCACGAAGATTAGTAATGGGTTTGTGTCAGAAAAATGTGCTTTAAGGAAAGGAAGGTTTGCAAAGAAACCTGCAAGTGTTATAAAAAAAACCCAAAAAACTCTAAAAATAAAAACACAATGAAAAACAAAAACTAGGTTGCTATTACAAGTCTATCCTCATCGTCACTGCTGCCATCGCTAAACTGCACCGTGTTTTGCCGCTGGGGCGGGGCGGCTGGCCTGGGTACCTGTCTGTCCGGGGTGACAGTTCGGTGGACTGGGGACTTGGTTAACGTGCTGGGATTCACCTTGGAGCGGGGCTCTGCCGGGGCAGCCCTCTTCACCTGGAGGGCAGGGAGGTCACGCTTTGGCTTGCTGGGGTTCGCGAGGTCAGTCTTTTCAGGATCAGCTTTCCCGGGACCAGCGGGGTTGGCCAGTGGGGTGGGCTCGGGATGGCTCTTCCCGCCGTACCGCTGGCCACCAGCTGCTGCCTGAGGAGAAGCATCCCGGCCGGCCTGGCCGGCCTCAACCGTGGGGAAGACGACAGGAGCTGGCTCCAGCTGGACCTCGCTGGCTTTGGAGCCTGCAGTGGGTGCCTCGGAGGCTCCGTGCCCCTCGGTGCTGGCGGGGCTGACGGAGGGGATGAGGGTCGGCAGGGCGATGTTCAGGATCTGCAGGCCGGGAAGGGGTCCCTGTGGGCTGGGGGTGCCCTGCGGCGCCGTGCCAGCCGTCAGCACCTGGAGGCCCACGGCGTTGAGGGTAATTCCCGGAGGGCGCATCTGCGGGGCGATATTGGTGTTTGCCAGGCCCAGGATGTTCACTGTCTCCATGCCCAGCGGCGGCAGAGGCTGCAGGTTGGGCGTGCCGAGCCCCTGAATGCCCGGCACGCTCACCTGGCCGATGGGAATGCACGGCACCACGCTGTTCACCTCGGCGACTCCCACGGGATTCGTGGTGGTGCCGGAGGCTGTGCCGCCTGTCTCGCCAAGGGCGCTGGTAGTTCTGTGAATCACACTCACAGCTGGGATAGTGAGCTGCACCGGCCCCGCCTGGATGGGAACAAAGGTGGAGTAGGTGGCCAGGCCGGCAGGGACCACCTGGATGCCCCCGACTGGCACCATGCCGTAGGGAGCCTTGGCTTGCCGCTGCGAGTGCAGGGGCAGGTGGCTGAAGAGGTGAGTCTGGGGAGCTCTCGGCTCGGCAGCCGGCTTCTCCTCTGGGATTTCGGTGTAGGGTGACGGCGCTGTCGTCGGCATGCTGTGGACTGCCAGCGAGGACGGGGAGCTGATGGAGGGCGTGCTCTGGGAGAGAACAACACAGGCGTGTTAATGTGGCAGCCACTGCTGCTCTTCAGCAACATGAAAACACGAGGGAGCTGGGAGTGCTTCCCATGCTCCCTTTTAAGAAAGAACAACAAAATGGTTCACAGTATATAGTGCTCAGCTTAAACAATGAACTGATTTCCTTTCTTTCTTTTTCCACCTCCTTCCTCACCCACTAATTGCATTTTCCTCTCCTGATTACACTTGCTTAATTTCTCTGAAGCACTAGTGCTCAAAAACATTGCTGAATATCTTTTGCACGTGTGTTTTAAGTGGTGAGGCGGCTTTGGAGAACTGTTTTATGTGGAAATCACCTCAGGCAAGAAGGTTAAATAAGCATAAGCTGGCATTTTTGATGCACTGGGTTCCTCTCCTGAAAGCATTACAGCCTCCAGCAGGCAGAGGCAGCATCACGGCACATTTGTCATAGGTGGTTCTAATGTGACAGACGGGGTATGCAATGACAGGAGATGGCTGACAACTACAGCTGCTGCTGAGGTGGAGGTGGTAGGTGGATACTGGAGTGAGATATGGGATCCACATCCCATTGCTGCCACAGCTCACTGTGATTTATTTGGATTTAAATCACACCTGGATTTATAATACTATTTTTATCCTCCCTATCTTCTCCTACAGCCTGTTACTGACCAAAGCTTGCAACTTCTTTCCTAGAACCTCCTAAAATGAGTAGTCTGAAAGTGCAATTCTGATCTCATGGTTATCTTTTTGTTTTTGGCACATTCATCACATACACACACACGTTGGTGCAACCTTACTTAGTTTTTACAATCCTAACTCTCAAAAATTCTCTAGAGCAGGCAAAAAACCTCAAAACCAGACGGAAATGCTTTAGAAATCTGCTTGTAGAAAACATATTGGCAAAGTGAGAATATGATTAACTGGCTATGCAGTGCCGTCCTGTCTAAATGGGTGTGAGATGGGTGTGAGAAAGAAGTCAACATCTTTCTCAGAACTGACACCTCACAAGAGATCCCAATAAACTGGTATGGATGCTTTTGTAGGAATGTACAACAGCCTTCCTGAGCTATGTTGACTCCTTTTCTTGAGTGCAAGAACTGGGATTCACAGCCATTCATAATGGGTACAGACTGTAGATTAATACAGACTGTGGAGACACAAGGCCAATGCTTCTTTTGGTCTAGGAAAGGAAAAGAAAATCTGGAAAGGAATTGCTTGTATTACTTACATGCCTTCTTTTTTTAGAAAATATATCAATGTAGAAAATTATTAGAGCTATATAAGTGAATACCGTTCAACATTTTAAATTGCATGAATATTTACGGGAGGCTTCAGTGGTTCTATTTAATGAGGGAGTACACTCAGTTAAATGTCCTTCTGTTATCCATTGGCAACAATGGAACCTGAACTCCAAATACTAGGACCCTGTAATGGGACCCTTCCTATTTTATGGCAGCCATATACAGCGATCAGAGACCACTTAATTTTATTCTCTGTCACACTACAAACTCACTCCAATTTACATTTGCCACATGAACTCACAGTTCCTACAAGCAGGGATGAACCTGTGTCAAACAATATAATGCAGCAATAATTTTTACTGTTTCTTCAGGTCAACAGTTTGCTATCTTAAACTGTGTAAAAAATAAATCTAGTAGTGTAAATTTTCAAGGGAAAAAAACCACTAAGTACTTAAAACAGATTGAAATTTTTACTTTTTATGCTTTTGAAAATTTTCTGCAATTTTTTTCAGTAACTGCATGTAGTTAGGTTTAGGCTTGGACTGGATAATCTCAAGATTTTTTTCCAACCTAAATGATTAATTGGTTCTATATTATTTTTCTAAATATTGCACTCATCATGGAGAAGGCAGTGCTTTGATTACCCCTTTAATTAAACTGTTGTGCATCTCATTTTTTTGAGCATTGCTCTGAAAAGCTCGAATGCCTTCATGGTCTGTAGCAAGAATTAAAAATTCCAAAAGATATCTTTAGGGTCACTCTGGTAAGTGACTTGTACCATCCCCTTCACAGTCCATTAAAGCCATTGCTGAATTTGAAAAAAGCTCAGCATCTGCCACCTCCCTCTATGATTTCATGGGCACAGTTAAAAAAAAAAAGTTGCCAAAATTACTGATCGCTCCCACAGATCTGCACAGACACTGACTTCATCTTTCTACACTGCTTTGAAAATCCACATGTCTAACACGTGCATGGGCAAAAACATCCTTTTCTGACAAAATCTTCTTTCAGCTTGGACAAAAGCTGAGAGCACTGGGAACTCAGGTCTCAGTCCTGTGTTCATCTCTCCTTTTGTTATTGTGGAAGGGCAATCTCCTAGTTTCCTTGAACATCTGGTGCTCTTTATAATTCTACTATTAAGCATATTTGGAGGATAGATAAACAATTGCACCATTTTTTTAGTGATAAGGCAAAAAACTTTGAGACTAGATTAATTTCCCTTTGGAATTACCAATGATTGTATCATCATATTTCTGAGTTTCATTTCTGAAATGATTGCTGAATTCTATCACTCTCCCCTGAAAACATAACTACCACCATATGTTCATTCCACGTATTTGTTATTTCCTTCTGATTTGTAATACAATCTACCAGCTCCAAACATCAGCTGAAATTACCATATTACAATTAAACCTTTCAGGAAGAATACAATCAAATTTAAGAATTTGAAAAGCAATGCTCCTACAAATCCTTGTGTCTACAGTCTTATATATTTCTGCTTGGACTAATTTTAACTCATCACCAAGAATTCTAAGAATGAACAGAAAGGCTTTTTTCTTTGAAAAATCTCCAAGAAGATATTTTTAGAAGGAGGACTTAAAAACCCACTCCCTCCCTGGTTTTAGACATTCCTACCTTTGTAAGAGCTGCAGTTGATATTAAGGAGTGGCCCAAGGCTGTATCTGGATCAGGGTAATCCACAGACATCTGGCGACCCGGAGACGCAGGAGCAATGTCCGTCAGTGCCGCATCAGCGCTGCAGGGACCCACTCCTCTCTCCTGGGCTTTGTCCTCATGTGCTTCCTGATGGGTGGACTCTGCTGGCGACCTGGAGGTCCTGCTGACCGACTGCACTGTGCTAAGGACAGTCATCTTAGTCAGCAGCGCTTTTGGGAGACCATCCATGGAGTCCGTGTGAGCCCCAGTGAAGCAGTCTGGGAGCCTGATGTCGTCGTCGGTGCTGGCGGCATCCTGCAGGCCGTGGCGAGAGGGGTGGTGCTGGGGGCTGGCCGTCACCGAGGGCGTTGTGGAGAGCACTGACTCAGCCTGGCTGTCTTCATCATCGTCCTCATTGTCATTTTCATCTTCATCGCCACCATCAGACTCCTCCACGTCATATCCTGACCGGTCATAGCCAAATCTTTGCTTCTCACCTGCAAAAGTGGAATGAGAAGTTAAGACAATGAAGGCCCTGGATTGACTGGGAAGGAAGCAGGAGAGAACAACTAAAAACACCAAAAAACCACATGGCACATGTATTTTCCACTCACACCCCACTGCATCAAAGCAACAGGGAAGACTTAAATTTTGGTTTTTATTTTGCAGCTTACATATTTAACTGTACAGCTACATAATCTTTCATCTTCTGCTTCTGTGCTGTTTTTACCATTCTGGATTTGGCTGTTTTCCTTCATGCCATTTGTAACCATTTGCTCAAAGTCACTCTTCACTTCTCTGGTCAGGGAGCAAGCAAGCAGATTCCCGGTTCATTAGGTTCCCAGTGCTGACACGTGGGGCTGGTCTGTCAGCCTTAGCAGTGGGATATTCTCTGGCTGGTTCTGACTCATAAGTGGGTGTCCTTGTACCTAATATGAATCATGGCTGCAAAGGTTGTTGAAGGATGCAAACAGAAAGACTGGAGGCTGTTAGTCAAGAATCTGTCTTGTTGACAGGCAAAAGAGACCAAAATTAGACCCTACTAGATTTCTTCACTTCATGTTTCGAAGGGTTTATTAAAAAATTACCTGAGATGTCCTAGGAGCCAAGAAAGCATTAATTGTCTCAAAACTTACCTATGAATCTTTGTTTGCATAAAGAAGCCCTCCTCACAGCCAAACCTCCATCTAGGGGTAAATTTGTCTACATAATACAGTTATACTGCAGCTTTTCACCTTCTTTTGTATCTAACTTGGAAAGAGAGTCGTCTTTAGTAAAGCGACAGAAAATCCCATCTGCTATGTCTGATTCCAAGCCAGACTGTCTGGGATCATATTTTATAAAAGACAAAATGCTTTGAATACATTAATATTTTGTATTTGATTAAAGGTCTGTCTCTTGAGCTGTCCAAAAAAACATATCTGCATAAAAATCATTTGGCTCTGTAAAACCAAAGATGTTTGGTTAGGTAAAATCTCAGAGATGCTGTTCTATGGAAATCTACACAGCAACTTGCCATCAAAATGAACAATTCTGGAAAAAATCAGAACCTTAAAAGAATTTGAATATACTGCCTATACTTTAGGCTGCTAAGTTACCAAAACCAAAACAAACATTTTGAACTCCGGATAAAATAAATGGGTTTAACTGAGCTACCTTTCAGTAAGTTATCCACCATTATAAGCCTTTATGGTTTCAAATAAGCAATGCAATTGGGAACTAATAGCTTCTCTGAAAAAATCCCTCTGTCAGGACATTCCCCCTCTTTGCCTACACAATAATTTGTACACTAGCTAAATACAGAAACTAAATTTCCTACATTTACTACAGCAGATGTGAACATGTCAGATATGTTATTAAAAATACCCCAAATCCTGCAGGCCATTGGAATGATCCTAACAAAAATATTTATCAGAATTTTAAATAGTCTTAATTTATAATTCTCATCCACAGACAAAGCTGTTAAAAATAGAAAATATATTTTAGTGGAAAAATTAATTTATTAACTTCCATTCCAAAATTATGGCAAGTACGATTGTTAAAGATATTATTAACAATAACATGCGGACTGACTAAACGTTTTTGGTATTTTTTCTCTATAATTCTGTCATTTCTATTCTTCATATAAACAGTGTTTTTTCAGTAACTTGCAAAGCAAACATATCTAAAATGTTAGAACATCTATATATGTTTGATTTCTGAATGGAAACAACTACTTCTGCCTTCAATACCAATGACAAGCTAGGAGGTGCCAGTGCCCTGAGCTGGAGAACCATGGCTGTGAGAATGATAAACTCCTGGTCGACTCTGATGTTGTGTGGGAACTGCTGCTCCAGCTGGATGCCTGAAGTCTATGGGGTCTGATGGGATTCATCTGAGAATACTTAAAGAGCTGCCGATGTCATTGCAAGGCCTCTCGTGATTTTTGAGTGGTCCTGGTAATCTGGAGAGGTCCTTGCTGACTGGAAGCTGGCTAACATTGTCCCAGTTTTCAAGAAGGACAAGAAAGAGGACACCAGAAACTACTGACCAGACAGTCTAATTTCTGTGCCTGGTAATATTATGGAGAGGACTATGCCGGGAGGCATTGGAAAACATCTGGTGGACCACACAGCCACTGGTCACAGCCAGCACAGCTTCATGGGAGGAGAGTCTTGCTTATCAAACCTGATTTCCTTGCACAACAAGGTAACCCGTGCAGTTGACCAAGGGAAGCCAGTTGATGTAACCTTTCTGGATTTCAGTAAAGATTTTGATAGTGTCTCTCACAGAATCCTCTTGGATAAAATTTCCAGCTCACAGCTGGACAAACTATACATCATGTGGTGGGTGAACAAATGGCTCACGGGTCAGGCACAAAGGGTTACAGTGAAGGGGGTGACATCAGACTAGTGGGGTTCCACAGGGTCCCATCCTTGGCCCTGTGCTCTTCAAAATATTCATAAATGACTTGGATGCAGGACTGGAAAGGACACTGAGCAAAACGGATACAAAACTGAGAGGAGCTGTTGACTCCCTTGAAGGCAGAGAGGCCCTGCAGAGAGACTGTGACAGATTAGAGATGGGAAACCCCCAACTTTTGAAATTCAACAAGGGAAGGTGACAGATTCTGCACCTGGGATGGGACAACCCTGGGTGTACAGACAGACAGGGGAATGAGAGGCTGGAATGCAGCCCCATGGAAAGGGACCTGGGGGTCCTGGTCGATGGCAAGCTGAACGTGAGCCAGCAGTGCCCTGGCAGCCAGGAGGGCCAACCCTGTCCTGGGGGCATCAGGCACAGCATGGCCAGCGGGCAAGGGAGGGGATTGTCCTGCTCTGCTCTGCCCTGGGGCAGCCTCACCTCCAGAGCTGGGGGCAGTTTTGGGTGCCGCAATATGAAAAAGATGTCAAGCTGTTAGAAAGCATCCAAAGGAGGGTAACAAAGATGGTGAAGGGCCTTGAAGAGAAGCCTTACAAGGAGAGACTGAGGTCACTTGGTCTATTCAGACTTGAGGAGACTGAAGGGAGACTTCATCGCAGGCTACAACTTCCTTGTGAGGAAAAGAGGAGGCACAGACACTTCCCTCTGGTGACCAGTGACAGGACGCAAGGGAATGGCCTGAAGTTGGGTCAGGGAAGGGACAGGTTGGATATTAGAGAAAGGTTCTTCACCCAGAGGGCGGTTGGGCACTGGAACAGGCTCCCCAGGGCAGTGGTCACAGCACCAAGCCTGACAGAGTACAAGAAGCATTTGGACAGTGCTCTTGAGCACATGGTGTGACTCTTGGGGATGGTGCTGTGCAGGACTAAGAGCTGGACTGCAATGATCCTTGTGGGTCACTTCAACTCAGAATATTCTGTGATTTCCTCAATGCCTCTGTAACAGATATTGAAGACTTCTCCATGTGTCACACCTCAAGGGTGATCTACAGGTTTCTTGCAACTCTTTAAATAAGGCAGGGCACATTGCAAAGCCTTGGAATTCACTCTGGACTCCCTCTTAAATTCAGTTTCTTGACCAATGTCACATAACTATGGAATCCTACTGATTCTTGTATTTTCTTCTCCCGCTCTCCACATGAATCACATTTTCTATGCAAGCTGATGTCAATTATGAATGACTGTTTCTACTGGCAGGAAGAATTACCTAAGTGATTAGACTGACTTGATGCATTTGTAAATCAAGGAAAACATATGTGCAAACAATGATTTAGAAGAAACTATCTTCTTTCAAATCAACATTTAAAAATGCTACTGGATTTACCAGCAAATGCTGCTTATGTAGGAACTTCCTGCATACATCCCAACATTCTACAACAAAGCTATGGAAAGAGAAAGGGAAACTGTATGGAACACAGATTCCTCACATGCAGGACTCCATGGGATATCCTTTCCCTCTATTGTTTCCCTGTTTACCTCCACCCTTTGTGCATTTGCCAGCTTCTATTTGAGTGTGGTTTTACCTGGAGCCAGAGCCTGCAGTGTAGGCGAGGTGACAGCAATGAATGTGGTTCCCTTACTCCCACACTGCTTTGCAACATCAGATGAGTAAAAAATAAGATTCCTGACTTGCTTGTTCTGGCAATGCACAAAGGAATGCTGTGCTCTGGCTTTTATACCTGCATGCATATTTGCTGAAACAAGAGGTGCCCAGGCTTTTCCAATCAGTGATCTCACTAAGCATCGCTGTGGAGCTCAAGAGGACCCAGTGCTGGAGTTTTAAGCAGTAGAAGACCCAGGCAGAGTTATGGGTCTCCTCTGAAGGAGGCATCGGGCTGAGGCTGTGACCCCTCTTTGTGGTGGAAGATTCTCTTCCAAGCAGTGTCTTTTTAACTAAGCATTATTGGCCCCAGTCCCATTCTGGTAGTTGTACACTGCCTACTAAAGTTCCCTGGCAGTTTTAATTGGGGAAAAATTAATTCTTTGCTTCCTATCTTGAACTATGCACAATTATAACCATATGCTTATGTAGCTGATACATACATACATATATATATATACATATCTATAACTAGAACTGACTCAATTTCCAGTGGGAACAAAATTACTTCTCTGTTTAACTTTGTATGAGGTTGTAAAATGGTGTACGGTATTTTCAAATGAAGGATGTATCATAAATTTAAAGGCTCCTACCATATGGAGAAATGGCTTTTGGCATGAAAGTTCAGTTTCTTTTTTAAAAAAGAAAACAGGAAAAAAGTTTCACACTATTAAGTGAAGGCTTAAGAAAGCTACTTCTCTTTTGAATTTGTAACTCAACTCTCACCATTTTAACAGACAAACTGTTCAAGACAGCCTCAATTTTTTACAAAGTCTTTTTGGAAGAGTAGGTGATGCCTTTCATCCTCTGTCAACTGCTGCAATCTTTTCTTTTAAATTCTTAGAAAGGCACTTTCTTCTTCCTGGACTTCACAGGAGTAAGTGAATTTTACAGACCTGAACTCTGCAGAAATTAGGAACAGCTGGAAGTAAAGGCTTAATAGAAACATGGACAAAACTTTTGACTGAGGATTTTG